AATAGCTAATTTACTATCCTATACTGTATGATTTAAAAATCATCAGATTGTGCATTATAAATGAATACCATTTTTAAGATTCAATAAATTATTTTATTTTAAAAATAACTCGTCAAAGAATTAAAATACTTTTCAGGACAACTCAAAAGATGCCAGTGCTGAAATGCAAATTATATGTGCAGAAACTAGTGTTAACCCATAATAGCTAATTTACTATCCTATACTGTATGATTTAAAAATCATCAGATTGTGCATTATAAATGAATACCATTTTTAAGATTCAATAAATTATTTTATTTTAAAAATAACTCCAAAAACTCAGCAAAACCACTCTTTTGAAAATAGGCATTAGACCTAAATAGATATTTCTCAAAAGAGGATATACATATAGCCAGCAAGTATAAAAATTTTATCATGTCGTTACAATAAAAACCACAATGAAATACCGTTACAACACCTCATTTCCAATAAGAATGACTTACCAAAAGGAGTAAAGATAACAGGTATTGGTAAGGATATGGAAAAAGAAAATATTTGCACACTTTTGGTGGATAAAGTAGAGCATCCATTATAAAGATTCCACAATCTTTATAGAATTATCATATGATCAGGCTAACCTCGATCTCCTAGAGATCTGCCTGTGCCTGCCTCTGCCAGCAGAATTATATGATCCAGCAATCCCCCTACTATACAAAGGCTATGAATTCAGTCTGCAAAGAGACATCTATATTCCCATGTTCATTGCAACACTATTCACAATAGCCAGGAAATGGAAGCAGCTGAAGTGTCCATCAACTAAGGAATGTTAAAGGAAAGATTGTGTGTGTGTGTATTTCATATATATGAATACTATTTATAAAAATAATGATCTCACCAATTAGAACAACATGGAGTTAACTAGAAATGTGGTTTATGTGAAATAAACCAGATTTTCTATATTAGTAATTTTTTTTTCCTGTCACAAAAATTTCATTTGGCCCATGGCTGTAGAGATCTTAGGACATAATCACTTGGCTATGCTGTTTCTGGACTTGATGCCCTGATAGTTGAGAATAGGGTGGTAATTAACAGAGGGTAGTATGGGAGGGAAGGGATAGGGAAATAATCAATGGATACTAAGTTACATTTAAATACAAGTAAGAAGCTCTGATATGTTACTGAACTGTGGGGTGATTATTGATAACAGTAACCGACAGTATATTTCAAAAGGCTAGAAGAAAGGATTGTGGGTGTTTTAGCCATAAAAAAAAGATAAATGTTTCAGGGAACAGGTATATTTAACACATCTTATTTAAATATTACACATTTTCTCTTTATGCATATATTGAAATATCACATGGTATTCAATTTAATATGTGTAATTATATTTTATGGAGCAACTTAAATACAGTGTTTATGCTTATGATATAGGTCTATAAAATGTGTGAATAATTTATCTAATAAGGTAGTCAGTTTGTGACAGTTTGTAAATGCTTAGATAAGTAAAAGGCCAGTAGAAGGTGCCATTTTGCTCTTTCCTTCCCAACTTTGGATTTTATTTAAAAGATTTCTTTCTCATGTACATCTCAAGAATTTACTGTTTGACTACTATGAATATAAAGAGGGCACTATTCTAAACATGATAAAAGAAACAAATTAATAAGGTAGGCTATGCTTTCATGTTTACGATGTACCAACAGTGGTAAGGAACATATAAAATATCTGCAGCATAAGATGGAGATGGGTGACAGAGGTATAAATAAGCTACACAAGTATTTTAGAAAGGAGAGAGATTTTTCATGACTAATAGGTATTCACACTGCAATTTACAAACAAAAAAACAAATGAGGAGTTACCAGCCTCTATAGTTAGAGCCATCAAATGGTTTATCACCTTTTACTCTTGTTGTGTCTGTATGCCTTCCCTTTCTGCTGAGCTATAATATTCTTCGTGGCAGGGTGCACATTACTTTGTATATCCTAACTCTCTAAATCCTTAGTCCATAAAGTACACTTGATAAATATGTGATTTATATGTGTTATCACTTATAATCAAGCTTACCAAGATATTTTTTACTCTATTAAAATCGTATTCCCTATACTAAGAAATAGTTTTCGTAGAAACTAAATATTTTTAAAGGACAGTTTTTATAAGATTATTTGCAATTTGTGCCATAAAGTAGGAAAAAAGATCAAAGATCTATAGATCTATATAACTAAAATAGAAAGCAGAAAGAGCTGTCTCTATCCTTTTTCCAATTTTACTGCTTTTGACAATATATTTTCATTATATTTGATTGACTAAGCCCAACCTCAGTGAAAGTGAGTGATAAAATAAATTTACATTTCAACTGTGAGCAATAAATCATAATCCTTTATGTGTTCAACTATATTTTAGTTAGAAAATGCTATTCATGTTTATTAGTAAGTAATCTCCAGGATCATTCAAGTTTTAAATTTTGTGATTTTTATTGTTCATAAGAAGAAATGTTGGATCCGTGTAGGTAGCTTTACATGTGCACAAAGAAGAGGTATTCTTTTGATAGTAGTATTAGTCATGGGATGGAAACTTTGGCATAGAGCCTTCCACTCAATTCAGTGAACATATTTGGAGCAGCCACTGGAGTTGTAGCAGGGCCAAATTTAGTAAGGTGCAGCAGCCAGAATCCAGTCTTCTGTGGGTTGGATGTATATAATCATTACTAAGTGGTTTAAGAAATGAGAGCTTATTTATCTCGCATATTAGAAGTCTAGAGATAATTACTCTGGGCTTATCTAGCAGCTCAAAATTGTCATCAGGGACTCAAGACTCTTTTCCTCTTGTGTTTCCATTACTATACGGGTTAGACCCTCATCGTTGAAAAATGGCCACAGCACCTCTAAGTATCCAGCCATGTTCCAGATAAAAGGTAGAAGGGCAAAAGGCTTTTTCAAAATATATCTCTTTTATCTTCTTATTTGTAATAAAATTTCTTTTTCCAGAGATTCCTGCCAACATTTCAGTGGCCACAGTTTCTTCACAGGCTCCTCCAAGTGGAAAAGTGGCTAAGGATGAAAGGGACTATGGGTAGCAGTTAGAATACCGAAGCTATAGTGTTTGCAGTTGCTGTTTTCTGTTTATCCTTTGGTCTGAATACATTTAAAAGGGTCCAAGGATAAGGCCAAATTATTTATGCATGAAGATTCAGTGCTTCAAAAAGTCTGTCTTTGGGACTAGGCAGATGGCTCAGTTGGTAAAATTTTCCTTACAACCACGAGGACCTGAATTTGATGCCTAGAACCTAAATTTAAAAAAAACTGCACAGTAGTGCCCATGTAATCCCAGTCCTGGGGAAATGGAGACAATCAGATCCTTGGAGCTCCCTGGCCAGCTAAGTCTGACTTGATTACTGAACTTCAGGCCAGTGAAAGACCCTGCCTCAAAAAGAATAAGCCAATAAGTGAAGTAAATGGCTCCTAAAGAGTAATACCCAAGGTTCTCTTCTAGCCTACACACACACACACACACACACACACGAATGTCTCTGTCATTGAGTGATTCATTTATTAACTCAACAAATACTTATTTTTATGTGTTATAGATATATGGTTTTTAATATCCACATTTATATGTGTAAAATAAAGAAGGGTAGTGAGAATAAAGACTGCTAGCATGTATATTCCATACAGTATATTCACAAAAACCCTTCTGATGAGGTGACACTTAAGCAAATATCTGAAGAAATTAGGGATGGATTGCTGTATCTAGTGGAAAATGGCCCAAGATTAAAAACAGAAGTGAAAATACAGAGACCCTGAGGAGAAATATATTTGACATGGCCATTGAAAAGGAGCCAGTATGGCTGGAGCACAAGGGAACCAGGAACTGTTAGGGGAAAAGAACAATTGAGGCAGAGCTATGCCAGGCCTCATAGACACAAATAATGATTTTACTGTAAATGAAACACTTTAAAGAGTTGTGAGCACAGATTAGTGTGCTCCAACTTACAAAGGATCACTGTAATGACTGTGTGGTGAGTGAATAAATTGTAGTGGAGTGAGGATGGCATCAGGAGACCAGTGAGGAGGCTATTTAAAGTCCCAGACCATAGATGGTATTGCAGTATTATAGTAGCAGTGGAAATGGTCAGTGGTGATCAGATTCTAGATTTGTTTCAAATGTAGCTTAGATATAGTTCTAGAAAAGAGAAGACTTAGGATGTCTCCACAGTTTTGCCCTAATAATTGGTAAAATGAAATAACTGTTTAATGAGATGAAAATTGCAAGAAAATTAAGACATCCTTTGGGTGGTAAAGGAGGGTAGAGAATCAACAGTTTCATTTTGGAAAGTTTAAGTTTGAGTTGTCTGTTATATATCCAAGTACATGTTAAATGATTACTGGCTTGGAAAAATTTATTATATACTAGGTTTCAGGTGATATACAAATATAGGGTTGAGGGTAGAGGATGAGATTAGAGATATAAACTTGGTAGTTTTACTAAATGAGAGATAGTAATGCCAAGGGACTAGGTAAGGTCACACGAGGAGTGGATAGCTAAATAATCTATTTCCATGATTTTTTACAGAGGAAAGAGCAATTCCTATGAGTCTTAAATAAATTCCTGTTCGGGAAATTCATTTTATTACTATCTCATTAAGAATCCAAAGGTTAATATAATGGTAGGGGGCATGAACCCTGAAGCCAAGGCTACCTAGGTTCTTCTGTTACCAGTTCTGTGACTTAGGCAAAGATATAATGATAAGTTACCATAAAATGACAATTAAGGGTTACTCTAGAATGGTTCCTTGACACATAGTAAGCATTCAGAAAATGATTAACCTCTATCATCATTAAATTTCACAAGTTTTGTCACATGATATCACACTTAATGTTCTATGAGACCAGGTTATGTTTCAGAAGCAGGAGAAATAATGTCTCACAGGGACACTTGAAATTAGAAGTTGTTGGTATCTATAAGTCATCTCACTTATCAATCAGTGTTTCAACATCTTGTTCTCAGTTAATTGTCTTCCTGTTTAGGTCACAGTGCCGTCGATATCACCAAGGTGGCTAGAAGACACCGTATGTCTCCTTTCCCTCTGACATCTATGGACAAAGCCTTTATTACAGTCCTGGAGATGACTCCGGTGCTTGGTACAGAAATCATCAATTACCGAGGTACTGTCATAGTTCTCCACTGCCCTTTGTCTTCCAAGTAAGACTCATATAACATGAACGTGCCATTTTCCTAAAAGTGAAAGCCTGCTAGCCACTGTCAAAATTCAGAATCACCCTTCTTGTTTCTTTTTTCTATGAAACTATAGGATTGGACTTAGAATATGATGCTAAAAAACTTTCATAAAAAGAGGGCGAGTCACCTGTATTTCTGATTTAAAATACCAGTAGTCTGGCATAAAGACAAGGCTATCAGCACCAAGTCAGAAAAGTAGATAACTCTGAGTCTATCTGATAACTTTTCCATTAAAAGTGGGAGATAACTAATGTCTTGTAATTGTATGTACACATTGTAGAAAACACATGCAAACAGTTCTTGGCTTATAGATTTTCAGCTTTATAATGGTGCAAAAGTAATAAATTCAGAAAACTATATTTCACACTGTTCGTTTTGATATTTTGGGACTAGCAGTATGTGGTATGACACTGTCTTGCATTTCTATACAGCGACAGCACCCTGCAGCTACCAATCAGCCCCACAGCCAGCATAAACCATGTGTTGTATCATATTGTATTGTTGAGCTATGATGTACAATAGGTTAGATATATCAAATGCTGCTGAGTAGGGAGGTAAGGTCTCACTTTTTGCCTAAGCTAGCTTTCATTCTGTGATCCTCCCACCAAAGCCTCCCAGGTGCTGAGATTATAGACATATGCAACTATGCCCCATTTAAACGCTTGGGGATGGGGGAGACAGGGTCTTCCGGTAGCCCTAGCTGGCCTAGAACTTACTATGCAGACTAGGCTGGCCTTGATCTCACAGAGATCCCCCTGCCTCTGCTAGGATCAAAGGCATGAACCACCACACCTGGCCCTTAAATGTATTTTAAACACAATAATATTTCAACTTACAGTGGTTTATTAGGATATAGCATAAGTTGAGAAACATTTGTATTGAAATGTAACCTGTGAAAAATAACCTAATTTTTCTGTGGTTTATTAAGTAACCACTTTGATCTATTTTCTGCTTAACCTATTCTCTCTCTCTCTTTTTCTCTCTCTCTCTCTCTCTCGTTCTCACTCTCTCTTAGTCTAGTAGTGAATTCATAAGCTGTTTATGGAAAGATAAGGAAAATTTAGTTGTTTTAGTTTAGTAAGTTTTTAGTCAAAAATTTCCATTTCTAAGAATTCACTTGAG